ATATATATATATATATATATATATACATATATTTATATATATGTATATATATATATCTGTATTTATATAATATGTATATATATATATATATATATATATATATATATATATATATATATATATATATATATATATATATATATATATATATATATATATATATATATATATATATTAGACTATACTACAGGCGCACAGAAATATTCCCATAAGGATGCATAAAAGTGATTCGAGAAGTGTAGATCGCACTTTACACCAACACTACATAAGCTAACGCAAGCAATACGAACATACGTCTCCCATTGGTATTTTGCAAACGCTCTCGCTTCGCTTCCTCGGCTCTTTCTTTGTTCATGGTCGAATACCTCTCCTTCAGATTCTTCAGAAACTTCTTTCGTTTTGCTAATCTTTCCTCACTATTAACTACTTTAGATGGCGGAAGGCCAGCTTCTAAGACCTCATCCACGCTCTCCTTCTTTTCTTTAATCTTCTCATCAACCACAGCCTGTGCTGCTGCTGAGTATGTGCGTGAAGCTAAGCCATAATTGATCCACGCGTGCGTGCTTGCCAGGGAGTATGTACTGATATTCAAGTAGGGATTACTAAACGCATAAATCGGGCTCAATTTCGACCGCCGTGATATGAGACTGTCGGATGCTATGACTGATCTACATTTCTGAGTATGTATTGTGCGCGACGGAAGTGCACTGACTCCGTTGCCACCGTGTAGGATTCGTCGTGCTTCACGTGCTGTAGTCGTTCTTGATCTGGACAGCCATGCCCTACTCGTTTGAAGCATGCTCTTACTACACAAACACGTATACAACAGTATGCCCACGCACTTATGGCGCATCGAATCGTTTGAAAGTGTTTATTATCGTAGTCGATGTTCACAGAAATTGTAATAAAACCCTTGACCACCGCATTTCGGACGACGGACGGCAGCTGGTAGAACTGGATTTACTAGTCTCATTACTATTCATTAGAGAGAGTGCCGAGAGTGCCCTTCTATGGCTTTTTTTAACTCGAAATCAGAAGGAACATAGCCTGACACCCTGACCCAAATGACCATACACCTTGACCTGAACTATTAGGACTCTTTGCTAGCAGGACTGTTGAACTCTATCAGCACCTTGGGCTACGTATTATTGTAAATAGGTCACGTAGCCTGACCTTTTAGCCTGACCTAAATTCCTAATAAAGTCTCCTGGCCTGGCCATTTCGAGACTCTTGACCCGATTTGTTAGGTCTCTTGGCCTGACGCCCTGACCTATTATTCTTTTTTAGGGGGAGGCTACGAAAAAAGAGCTATATACAAATACACAATAAAAACTGCTTTTGGCAAACGGGACTCCAGGAGTATTCGGGTTGAAATGACATATTGAAAAATAAATCTACTTATTGTTGCAAGTTAAAGATGAATTAGTACATTGAATCCAATCACGTCTCCGGATGGTCTAGCTGGTTATGACGGTTGCTTCACACGCAACAGGTCGGCGGTTCGACTCCGCCTCTGGAAATATTTTTCAGTTGATGAACAATGACTAGCCCTGACGCTTGAGCCGAAGTAAAGATGATAGGCTCTACTCACCACCATGTGATTGGCAGGCAAAAACCTACGCAAACCGGAAATCCAGACGCGTGATTGAACGTCCTCTACATCTAAAGCACATGTCCCTTTCCTGCAAGGTTAACGAATCGATACTTGTCAAAAAAAATTTCTCGAATTGGTATAGCACGACCAGCTAAGGCAAATACAATACATTTCACCACCGTGTCAACACGCGAACTTCTCATATCAAGCATCTTACGGAAGCCCAAAAAAAAAGTCAAGGCGCTAATGCCTAGCAAAGTTTTCGAAATTTAGTATTTTTTTTATAGATATTAACCTAGATTTGGTTTCTATGAGTTCCAATCCGCAAGTCACCGCTGGCGAGCTTCCTATTGTGTGAAATAATTGGTGAACCATAAGCGTCTCCCTCCCTTTTCAGTGCGCACGAGTGCCAACTCAGTTGTGCGTGCTCCAGCTCCGTAAAGTTAGGTACACAAATTTCCCACTACTTTAAATTCTTTAATGGCCAAGGCACGTACAATCGCAAGCAATATCCCTGCCACAAATGTGCGGGGGCTTAGTACTGCATCCAGTATCTGATCATGTTCTTTCGTACGCCATGCTTGGAAAATCCTCCTGAAGGACAACTGTATCATTATTTGGCAGCCGAGCGTCTTAGTATCATTCCCTTAACAGCAGAGCGTATCCCATGAGCGTTTCTTCATCAAAATCTGCACCATCGGGTGGCATACTAACGCGGAATTTAGTCTCTTTCGCTCGGGCGTCCCCAAGTAATTTTTCAATAGCCTGGTGGGAGTAAGAGTTGTGGTCGGGTAACGCCCGTTGATTAGTTGATATGCAAGCGCATGCGCACGCGGAGAAATTGCAGTGGAAGGAAGCTGATTGTAGCTATGGAAACAAGCTCATATATCGACTAGGCTTTGATTTAGCCGACGTAAGAAGTTTTGGTGCTGCTGCTAAACGATATAAAAAAATCCGCGGTATATATCCAGATGTCTTATATATACTTGATGATAGTATGGCATAAGTAATATTCACAGTTGACTTTTGTGCCAAGGATAAGGGCGACAAGATAGCCTCGCAAAATGTAACTTCCCATTTCAGACACTAGTTCATTCTCAATCACTGAAACACCAACAAACAATGGATTGAGGACAACTCCCTTTCAAAGCATTCTAGTATATCTGGTCAAGATCGAACAACATGCCTTCTGTACACTCTGTCCATCGTCTTCTCGCACGAGCTGTGCATCGACCAGTTCCGTGGCAATCAACTCGGCCGTATCAGTATGCGTATCAAACGGAAACTCAATATCCTTAAGCTGATTCTCTCGATCGCGCATTCTGTTTTCAGGAAAACAATAGAAGATTTCAGCAACATGAAGAGAACCTAACCATGACCGTTTTTTGAGGGTCCCCTTGCTTCGGTTTACAAAAAAACTAATCAGAACAATGCTAATACAGAATAATTATGCACGTTAATATATAGGTAAACTATAGCCGCTAATATCCAACACTAGCGCAAGTGTAGATGGAGCGACCCATGAGATTATTTTTGAATTATCTCAAAGTATATGTCGAGCTAAACCACGAAAATGTTCTCCCTCTGTGCCAGGTGACAATCGAAATAATCACCGATCCTATGCAATCGCAAAACAATCATAAAACGTCCTCTAGTCTTCATCAATTAAAAATTACTATCTTCTTCATTCACACATCGGTACCCCCAAAATATACCACTCATTAACTGCCCCTCAACACCATACACACCTGAGCTTGAAGTTGAACTGTGTTTCTAAACTCTCCTGTTGTGGCGAACTAGGGCCGCCGTCGAATGGAGCGCCCTCCTCATCGCCGTCATCCCAGTCCCATCGGTCCTCTTTGTCTTTGGCCTGGTCTGCGCCACCGGCGTCCCTCCGACTGGCTTTGTCTGAAGATTTGTTTCTGTCCGCTAGTGGTGGTAACTGGGCCATAAGACTTGTGAGCAGGTAGTCCTTGCCTTTAGATAGACGGAAGAACGAGTGCTTTAAGAGGTCGTCTGCGGTAGGTCTGTTTAGAGGGGGAGAAGGGAAGATATACATATCAAGGAGGAGAAAGGGATGTATATGTATGTCGTAATAGAAGTAGCTCTGCCCGTTAGGAGTGGTCACTGGGGCGTGAAACTGGCGAGCAATTAGTTTGTACTTAATCACAAAAAGAACACAAGCGCTATAAGGAAGTCGACTGCATTGTGCCTTCTTAGGGGAGGAATATAAAGGCAGCGATACACTTCAAAATGGATCTGGCAGCTCGTATTGGTAGCTCGGCTTAGCACAGTGGAATTGATGAACACTCACCTTTTGTTGGGATCCTTCACCAGGCAGGAGTCAATCATTTTCTTGAATGATTTCGAATATCGCGAGTGCTCTCCGTTGATTTGCAGCGTGGGAGGATCATTCTGAAGTGTCAGCATGAGCACCTGTTCACGAGTAGCGGCCGGTTGCAGTGCATGAGTAAACCAGTGCAACAGAATATCTGCCGACCGGAGTGGCACGTACGGCAATACAGGCAGGCTACATTCACCCTCGTTCTCACTAGGGGTGTACCTACGACACGCGGTCCTTAACATTGAACAGCTCTTTGGCAGTGCCGGGAAACTACGCGCAGTTTTTATCGCCTATAACCTTACGTATCTGCGCTGATGTTCAAGGGCATGCGTCTGCCAACCGTCACGCCCATGCAAACTGTCGCAGTGGACGTCACCAAAGACTACATCACTACAGTGCTCTACCGTAGCAACAACAAGACTATACATCACAGAAAACACTTCACTACCCACACAACGAAGCCACGCGGCACAGCGACCAGACAAAAAAACAAGAAAAAAAACATAGGTGTGTCAATGTACCATAGTATCATTATAAACAAGACACGCAACTATGCAACACGGCGATTTCAAACATCTGGACAACCGCATACCTAGAGACAACGAATACTGTCATAGTTAGAACAATGATACGTACCACAGCGACCACAGGCATACTACGAACGAATTCGTGCACCACACACCTTCATCGGCGGGTAACGTGCATACGGCGCGTGCCCGGTTGCTAGTTCGATGGCTGTGATACCAAAGCTCCAAATGTCAGCTTTTGTGTTGTAACCAGAAACCTGATGATTTTTTGGAGTGAAGTGCGATATTGGGTCGAATAACTTCCATATAGCAAGTCTCGAAGTGCGGACGGCAAGGGCGTATACAGACTATCACATTAGACTACAAACAAAGCATCCAAAAATGGCCGTACAAGTCTGATCAGACCACCCACACGACCGTAAGTATCATTCTTCACCTTCTTACCCAAAAGTATAGGAGTATGGCAGTGTGGTAGTGTGATGGTTGAGGTAATGAGGTAGTATGGTACAACCCACAATCATACTGCACCACAGCATACCTGCTCCATGACTTCCGGAGCCATCCAGCAGGGCGTGCCCACAAAGGTCTGTCGGTTGTCTTTGCGCTCTCCTCCCTCTACCAGCCACGACGACACCCCAAAGTCACCCAGTTGTACTGTCCCGTCTGTGTCAAGGAGGATGTTTCCAGCCTTGACATCTCTATGTATGTGGGTGCATGGGGCATGTCAATGGAAAATTTAGCATCCGTACGCATATACGCATCACCACACACAGTTAGTCGAGGACGGAGAGCTTGTACCGGAGTATGGTTACATATGAGACCTGCCGTAAGAATCCCATCTTGAAATTTCAGCTTTGGGTCACAATCTGTCGCCCGTCAACTGTGGCTTGATGTACTGTCTGATGCAATTGTTTCTCGAATGCACAGACCACAATAGATAGAGAAAATACACGCCCTCGCAGATTGCGCACACGAATCGAGAAATCGAGCGATCGAGCGCATTTGGTGATCGAAAAATACGAAGGTACGTATATGGAAGAAACGCAATAAATGTATCTATCTTGTCTACTCCCACGACGGGTGCCCTCGTGTATGCTAATACACAAGCATAGAAAGATAACACATGAAATCCCAATTCTACGAAGACCCGTGCAGGTCACGAGTGATCGCAAGAATACTACACTTTCTCTGCACCACGTAGGCTGTCTCTTAAGATCGCATCTGATTTGCACGACTTGGGCCATGTGATCCCTTGTCCATCATGTTATTTCCGTCTCACTCGAGAACTCCCCAGCCGCGATATTGATCCTTTCGCAAGACATTCGGGCACACATGCGACGCACAACAAACATTACACACGCACCACAACCCAACGCAAGCAAGCAAGCGTACACACACAAGAACAAGAACCAGTAGTGAAACTGAAGTATATCTCCCAATTTGAAATATACCGTCATATTGGGAAAACTATCGGTGGACACCAAATTGAACCACCGATCGAAAACAGCCACACACTGGTGCGTGTGGCGCTATCTCACACCACAATGCGCGACACACAGAGCGGGTGTGGTATGGTGTGAAAATGATGTGACCACTCGTGAGGCATATATAGCTACTGTGAGTGCCGGTGAGGATGAACGAGATATGCCTATTAGCGTTAGCTCTTAGCGTTTGGTTAGCTGAGCTCTTGTTTGAGCAACACGGCCCGCGGATCTGAAATGTTTCACGATGGTCGAAAGATTGGTACACACCTGTGTATCTGCCCGTTCTTATGAAAATAGGCCAACGCCTTCAGTATTTCCTTTAGTATCGAGGCGATGATGACCTCCTCTAACCCCTGAGGCGACACCCATCGCATAATGTCCAGGGCCGAGCCTTAAAATAGAATAGAAAAGGACAATATATGAGTACATATCGAGGCGTTTCCACCAAGCCGTCTACGGTGGTTGTGACTGAATGCGTAGAAGAAACTTCCGTAAGCGTAGAACTTGCACAAACTCCATATCCTAGACCAAATGGGATATGTAAAAACGCTCACACATATGGGCAACAGGCGGATGACGTGTGGAAGGACATGCACGCACAAATAATCCACAACAACTGACGCACACGACACACACACCTCCACTTAGCAGGCGCATAACTAGCCAGAGCTCTTCTTGCACAACAAAGGATGTGCGGTATGTCACCACATTGGGGTGGTTGCATTGCATCATGACGGCGATCTCATTCTGAAATGTGATTGGGCAGGGCAGTGTGACCAGAATCAATATATACAAAGAATCTACATCATAGAAGCTGTTCAAATACATCATACGAGCTGCTTACATACATCATAAGAGCTGCTCACATACATCCACAAGAATTGCTTACATACATCATACGAGCTGCTTACATACATCATAAGAGCTGCTTACATACATCATAAGAGCTGCTTACATACATCATAAGAGCTGCACACATACATCACAAGCGCTGTTTGCCTACGTACATGAAAATGGGCGGAACGACCCAATTTGACATTTTAAACCAACATGCCAGTTCTCGATGTATGGAAGTCTCGTACTTGGATTTGAATACACGATGAAATTGTGATCGCTATTAATATGACGTGTTTAAACTTTCCTCAGAAATAAGTAGATGGAAAAAATTATACGAGTACAAGCACAAGAAAAATTGGGAAATGTTTACGTATACGCCTGCATATACATTAATAAACTTGGAAGTGCCGGTATTGGTACAAGTAATATATTAAAATTATAAGTCGTCATATACGTCTTACAAACACATAAAGAACACGGACATAGACTTTCATCGACGAGTTAGTTATACACACACGAACAAACACACATAAACATATATATATATAAATATATAAATATAAAAAGAAATATATACCAACACACACAGACACATACATATATATATATACATGCATATGAATATATAGGCATAGATGGGTACATATATACATACATACATATACATATACACAAACACCTACCCACCCACCTACACACATATATACAAAGGTATCGACATACTCACACTCACACCTTCACACACACATATATATATAAATATATAAATGCACTCACACACCCACATCCACACTCCCCCCCCCACCACATATATATAAACAGACTCACACTCAACCACCCACACACCCACACACATTTATATATATATATATAAATATATATATATATCATATTATATATAAATATATATAGGATTTGTGTATGTCTATGTTTATACACACACACACACACATATATATGAATATATACATATATAAATAAATAATATATATATATATACACTTACACACTTACTCTCTCTCTCTCTCTCACACACACATATATATATATCTATACATAAATGAACAAATTTATAGACTTACACATGTGCAGATTTGATATATACAAACAAATATGCTTCGTTTCGATTTAAAAAATGAATACACACGCAAAAACGTAAACACACACACACGCGCGCATATATATATATATATATATATATAAATATACTGTATAACCACTCGCATTCACACACATAGACACGAACAAAACATACGCATATATATATATATACACACAGACACTCACACACACACATATATATACACATAAATACATATCCTTGTAATGTATTTGTATATTCAAGCGTGTATACAATGATATTCTATACATACGACCACGTACATATACACAAACGTAAACACACACACACACACA